TGTACGTCCGACTGAGACATGTACTGGTGTACATCCTACTGAGACATGTACTGGTGTACATCCTACTGAGACATGTACTGGTGTACATCTTACTGAGACATGTACTTGTGTACATCCTACTGAGACATGTACTTGTGTACATCCTACTAAGACGTGTACTTGTGTACATTCTACTGAGACATGTACTGGTATACATCCTACTGAGACATGTACTGGTGTACATCCTACTGAGACATATAATTGTGTAGGTCCTACTTAGAGATGTACTTGTGTACATCCTACGGAAACATATACTTGTGTACATCCTACTTAGACATGTACTGGTGTACATCCTACTGAGACGTGTACTTGTGTACATCCTACTGAGACATGTCCTTGTGTACATCCTACTTAGACATGTACTGGTGTATATCCTACTGAGACATGTACTGGTGTACATCCTACTGAGACATGTCCCTGTGTACATCCTACTGAGACATGTACTGGTGTATATCCTACTGAGACGTGTACTTGTGTACATCCTACTGAGACATGTCCTTGTGTACATCCTACTTAGACATGTACTGGTGTATATCCTACTGAGATATGTACTGGTGTACGTCCTACTGAGACATGTACTTGTGTACATCCTACTAAGACGTGTACTTGTGTACATCCTACTGAGACATGTACTGATGTACATCCTACTGAAACATATACTTGTGTACATCCTACTAAGACGTGTACTTGTGTACATTCTACTGAGACATGTACTGGTATACATCCTCTTGAGACATGTACTGGTGTACATCCTACTGAGACATGTACTTGTGTACATCCTAATTAGACATGTACTGGTGTATATCCTACATAGATATGTACTTGCGTACATCCTACTGAGACATGTCCTTGTGTACATCCTACATAGATATGTACTGGTGTACGTCCTACTGAGACATGTACTTGTTTACGTCCTACTGAGACATGAACTGGTGTACATTCTACTGAGACATATAATTGTGTTGGTCCTACTGAGACATGTACTTGTGTACATCCTACTGTAGTTTATATCCTAATGAGACGTGTACTTGTGTACATCCTACTTAGACATGTACTGGTGTATATCCTACTGAGACGTGTACTTGTGTACATCCTACTGAGACATGTCCTTGTGTACATCCTACTTAGACATGTACTGGTGTATATCCTACTGAGACGTGTACTTGTGTACATCCTACTTAGACATGTACTGGTGTATATCCTACATAGATATGTACTGGTGTACGTCCTACTGAGACATGTACTTGTTTACGTCCTACTGAGACATGAACTGGTGTACATTCTACTGAGACATATAATTGTGTTGGTCCTACTGAGACATGTACTTGTGTACATCCTACTGAGACATGTCCTTGTGTACATCCTACTTAGACATGTACTGGTGTATATCCTACTGAGACGTGTACTTGTGTACATCCTACTTAGACATGTACTGGTGTATATCCTACTGAGACATGTACTTGTGTACATCCTACTGAGACATGTCCTTGTGTACATCCTACTGAGACATGTACTTGTGTACATCCTACTTAGACATGTACTGGTGTATATCCTGTACTTGTGTACATCCTACTAGACATGTACTTGTGTATATCCTACTGAGACATGTACTGGTGTACATCCTTCTGAAACATGTCCTTGTGTACACCCTACTGAGACATGTACTGATGTACATCCTACTGAGACATATAATTGTGTAGGTCCTACTTAGACATGTACTTGTGTACATCCTCCGGAAACATATACTTTTGTACATCCTACTGAGACATGTACTGGTGTACATCCTACTGAAACATATACTTGGGTACATCCTACTGAGACGTGTACTGGTGTACATCCTACTGAAACATATACTTGTGTAGGTACTACTGAGACGTGTACTTGTGTACATCCTACTGAAACATGTACTTGTGTACATCCTACTTAGACATGTACTGGAGGAAATCCTAAATAGAAACATGTACTTGTGTAGGTCCTACTGAGACATGTCCTTGTGTACATCCTACTTAGACATGTACTGGTGTATATCCTACTGAGACATGTACTGGTGTACATCCTACTGAGACATGTCCTTGTGTACACCCTACTGAGACATGTACTGGTGTACATCCTACTGAGACGTGTACTTGTGTACATCCTACTGAGACATGTCCTTGTGTACATCCTACGTAGACATGTACTGGTGTATATCCTACTGAGACATATACTGGTGTATATCCTACTGAGACGTGTACTTGTGTACATCCTACTGAGACATGTCCTTGTGTACATCCTACTGAGACATGTACTGGTGTACATCCTACTGAGACATGTGTACATCCTACTGAGACATGTACTTGTGTACATCCTACTGAGACATGTCCTTGTTTACATCCTACTGAGACATGTACTGATGTACATCCTACTGAGACATATACTTGTGTACATCCTAAGGAAACATATACATCCTACTTAGACATGTACTGGTGTACATCCTACTGAGACATAATTGTGTAGGTCCTACTGAGACATGAACTGGTGTACAACCTACTGAGACATAATTGTGTAGGTCCTACTGAGACATGTACTTGTGTACATCCTACTGAGACATGTCCTTGTGTACATCCTACTTAGACATGTACTGGTGTACATCCTACTGAGACATGTCCTTGTGTACATCCTACTTAGACATGTACTGGTGTATATCCTACTGAGACGTGTACTTGTGTACATCCTACTTAGACATGTACTGGTGTATATCCTACATAGATATGTACTGGTGTACGTCCTACTGAGACATGTACTTGTTTACGTCCTACTGAGACATGAACTGGTGTACATTCTACTGAGACATATAATTGTGTTGGTCCTACTGAGACATGTACTGGTGTACATCTTACTGAGACATGTCCTTGTGTACATCTTACTGAGACATGTACTAGTGTATATCCTACTGAGATATGTACTGATGTACATCCTACTGAAACATATACTTGTGTAGGTGTAGGTCCTACTGAGACGTGTACTTGTGTAGGTCCTACTGAGACGTGTACTTGTGTACATCCTACTGAGACATGTCATTGTGTACATCCTACTGAGACATGTACTTGTGTACATCCTACTGAAACATGTAGTTGTATTTGTTCTGTTGACAAGTATACGTGTAGCTTTGAAGGCATACATGTACTAGATATATATTCCTTATCACATACAATCTACAATACAGACACAATGACGTCAATTACACAACACACTGATCAACCAGTCGGTGAAATTTGATAGACAGTACAGTGAATAGAGACCATTTAGTGTCACCACCGACTTATGGGATTTTAAACGTGTAGAACAAATACACCTGAAACAATTAAAACTGTTGTTGGAAATCTGCCATATTGTTTACTTTCTTTAGTGAACAGAACTGGTTCGGGCAGTATAGCAGAAGATTTGAATAAAACTTTCTTTTGTAATTATTTTTTTTTATTTTGAAAACTCTCATGTAGATAGTAATTCTACTATGCTTTCAGGATATCAGTTAATTAACTCCTTAAGAACACGGTCAATTAATTTATACATGTAATCGCAAGTCGAGTTAACGCTGCTCAAGCGAAAAGAAGAAATGACGGAAAGGCAAGTGGTTGTAAAGAATTGCTGATGTACATGTATGTAAGGTTACAATCAGTTATTCAATTGATTAATTAAACGTACGATTTGCTGTGAAAAATGATAAACCTTCTGTATGACTCGGAGGAACCAGTGTGTATACCTACTTTTATAACCTACTTTTGACAGTGAAGTTGTAGGTCATGGTGTGATTCGGTAATCAGTTATACATCAAGGTCGATTTTTTTTTTTTTTTTTAACTTTTTTCCCTCTTAGGTGACGTTATTTAAAACAAAAACAACAAACTGAGATAAAGAATCTGTCAGTATTTCTGTCATCAAATTATTCCATAACTTAGAGAAAAAGACATTGAAATAGCGTTTGTTATATGAGGATACTAACAGTATTGAGTTCTGTAGTTTTACTCTGATTCGGATAGTTAATAAAGGGAGGTAACTTGAATAAAAAACTGTAAAAGTTAGGCGATAACTAATCGGCATAGGATGATGTGATACCATATCATATCCTTTTAACTAAAGAAAGTAAAAGTACATTTGATTATCTTTCGTATAAAAATATTTAGAATGTTCGTATCTATCCAACGCCTGCTGATAACAACATTACTACACGACCAGTGTCATGGTGAGATTATAACTGTAACTGGTCAGTCTGTATGGTGACGTCATGATGTCCTTAGCAGTCATTCCATATTTGGCTGTTCCCATTACTGGACTTCCATCGTATCAGATGAAGCAAAAATAAAAAAAAAGATTTGAATATAATCAGTCATAATCTGCCCTTCTGAAAAAAAATTCATGAAAATTTAAGCGGTTTTCGTGGACTTTGATAAAGTTTCGTTTGCTGTGATTACATTCAGAAAGAAAGAAAAACTCTCTTATTTAAATAAAATGACAATATTTAGATGAAATGTGTCACATCACAATGACATCGGCGGCTAACACCTTAGTGTATCGTGCCACGATACCTAGGTTAACTTAAAATATAGCTAGTCAATGAGGACGAGGTCAAAAGACATCAATTAGAGTTCCAAACATATTTATCTAATTTCAAAAACCACATTTGAATGAAAAAAAAAATAAAAACAATAAATATTTTATTGAAAAAACATATATTCGGATTCAAAGAACTGGATTTGGATTCTAAAAAGTTATGTGAATAACTTTCAAATACAATGTAATACCTTTGAATCCAAATGAAATTTTCCAATCTTTTATTGAACTCAAATATCAATCTTTTAAAATCAAATCAGCAAATAAAGTGACACTCAGCATGTCTGAGACCTCTTCATTCGGTGTACGGTTACAGTTAAATAAGAGGTATATAAATAGAACATTGTATAAATCATGTGACATCAGATAAAAATGGCGACTGTTTGTAAACATGCGGTAGTGATGATTGTGGTGGCCTTGACAGCCCTTGGGGTGGGATGTGTTGTAGGGACACGCTATACACCTGACTGGGACTCCCTGGACCAACGGCCCCTTCCTGCATGGTACGACGGAATCAAAATAGGAGTTTTCATTCACTGGGGTGTTTTCTCCGTACCGGCGTTCCGGTCCGAATGGTTTTGGTGGGACTGGCAGGGTGCTAAGTATAACGACTGTATCGAGTTTATGAAGGCGAATTATCCTCCCGGCTTCACATACCCTGATTTTGGGCCCAAGTTCACTGCGTCACAATTTGACGCCAACAAATGGGCGGACGTTCTAGATAAGTCAGGGGCTGGGTAAGTACTAATTTTTAGAATCCTTTGTGAATTGTTTGGAAAGAATTCGACGCTCAGCAGGGCCACAAACATAATGTATATTTTTTGTCTTTTTCTTTTGTAATCTTATTTGAATACCAAACTATTTAAAAACGAGAAATCTAACATACCCTGTCTTTTTCATATATTGCTTAAAAGATTTTAAATCCTTTAAGTTTTTTATGAAGAATTGAAAGGATATACAGAGTGTGAACTGAGCTAGTAATTTAATTTCGGTATATAAATTTATTTGATTGAATGAATGAATTGAATTTGAATTCAATTCAAATAAAAATTTCTATTCAGACACAATTGTATAAAAAAAGCAAATAAACGAAAAATAAACTTAACTAGAAAAGAAACTTCACATCAGCCATTTAATGTATCAAATTGTAACAAAACATATCATTAAGATATGTCCATATAAATATGTAGTTTTCATTTGTGAAAAACATAAAAAAAAAAAGCTGTCGGTAGCTTTGTAAGGAAAGCGGTCACTTAATCTTATGACGGTGAAAAAAAACTAAAATCCTTGAAATTGTGCTGGTCGAAGAAAATGTGTAGATTAATTTAGGTGTTAACCTGTATATATATATCTTGATAGAACTTAGAACTTAGAAGTTATTTACAAACCTAAGGTACGTGGTACTGACGAGTAAGCATCACGAGGGTTATACCATGTGGCCCTCGGAACATTCCTGGAACTGGAACTCCATGGACGTCGGACCACACCGGGATCTTGTTGGTCAGTAAGGTTTTGTACTTACAGTATATCACCAATAGTGTATGGTGTGACTTGTGTTTATAACACTGCACAATCCTGTTTCTTTATAAAATTCCGTTAATATTTTCGATGATTGTCGGTCGCGAAAGTATGTTTAAAGTTTAAATATAACCTTATGTTAAAAACAGCCATTAAAGTATCATTTTCACTCAAAAATGTTTTTTTTTTTTTTTTTAATGAAACTTGATTAATATCCAACGTACCATCACAAATCAACACACAACCTTCCCTTTAGTCATGTTCTGTTTCCGTTCCACTTTAAGTTGCTGTATAATATTAGCATTACCGAGCCTTTTCTCTTGTCTCCCCCAGGCGAGCTAGCTAGTGCCGTGAGAAACAAGACAGCCATGTTTTTTGGACTTTACCATTCCTTGTTTGAATGGTTTAACCCACTCTACTTGGAAGATAAAGCAAACAAGTTCCAGACCCAGAACTTCGTCAGGGTAATATATACAATGATTATCACACTGTGTATTTGTATGTGATCCAATAGAAACACATGTATGATCAGAGGTATACACAGAGGTACTGTTATAGCGATTTTATATTGTCTTTAATGTCACTGTGGTACAGACATTCAATATAACACTGGGGGGATAGATTCATCACAACATAATTCATTGCTGATTCCATTATTTTGAAATAATTGGCATTTTCTTTTAATGTTAAAAATATCCAGTAAAACGTATGTAAATGACATTGTGAAGATATCTATGTTTATTCATATTCTGTTTACTTTCATCCGGTTTTGATTGAACCTGGTGAAATAAACAGGAGAAGACCCTCCCCGAACTTTACGAGATTGTGAACTCTCCTGCTTTCCTGGTACTGCGTGACCAACAGTCCTCTTTCATTGTGTCATTAAAGCAGGGAAACGTAGTATTTTAGCCCCGTGAAAGACGCTTTGCTGACTTTTGTAACACAATGTTTTATTTTAGCCTTGTGAAAGTCACCGTTCTGGTCAACGTTAAACGATGTATTCTTAGCCCAGTGAAAGACATCATGCTGACCAATGTAACTCAGTATTATATTTAGCCCAATGAAAGACATACCATGCTGACCAATGCAACACAGTATTGTATTTTAACCCCAATGAGAGACATATACTGTACTGACCAATGTAACACAGTATTGTATTTTAGCCCAATGAGAGACATATACTGTACTGACCAATGTAACACAGTATTGTATTTTAGCCCCATGAGAGACATATACTGTACTGACCAATGCAACACAGTATTGTATTTTAACCCCAATGAGAGACATATACTGTACTGACCAATGTAACACAGTATTGTATGATTTACATGATGATATATACTGTGCTGACCAATGATAACACAGTATTGATATTTTAACCCCAATGAGAGATATATACTGTACTGACCAATGTAACACAGTATTGTATATATACCCCAATGACCAGAGATATATACTGTACTGACCAATGATAATACAGTATTGTATATATACTGTATGAGAGATATATACTGTACTGATCAATGATAACACAGTATTGATATTTTAGCCCAATGAGAGATATATACTGTACTGACCAATGATATATGCTGTACTGACCAATGATATATACTGTACTGTACTGACCAATAATATATACTGTACTGATAAGTCATCAATACTGTACTGACCAATGATATATACTGTACTGACGAATGATATATACTGTACTGACCAATGATATATACTGTACTGTATATATACCCCATGAATAGATACACATACTGTACTGACCAATGTATATATAGTATTGATATATACCCAATACTGACCAGTGATATATACTGTACTGACCAGTGATATATACTGTATTGTACTGTCCAGTGATATATACTCTACTGTACTGACCAGCAATATATACTGTACTGACCAATGATATATGCTGTACTGACCAGTGATATATACTGTACTGACCAGCGATATATACTGTACTGACCAATAATATGTACTTTAAAGACCAGTGATATATACTGTACTTACCAATAATATATACTGTACTGACCAATGATATATACTGTACTGACCTATTTACCCCAATGAGATATATACTGTACTGACCAATGATAATACAGTATTGTATGATATTAGCCCCATGAGAGACAGTGATATATACTGTACTGACCAATGTAATATATATTGTATTTTGACCAATGATATATACTGTACTGACCTGTGATAAATACTGTACTGACCAGTGATATATATTGTAATGACCAATGATATATACTGTACTGTCCAGGGATATAAACTGTACTGATTTGAACAGGGATATATAATGTCCTGTACTGACCAATGATATATACTGTACTGACCAATAATATATACTGTACTGACCAATGTAACACATATATACTTTACCAGTGATATGACTGACATATACTGTACTGACCAAGTGATATATACTGTACTGACCAATGATATATACTGTACTGACCAATGATATATACTGTACTAACCAGTGATATATACTGTACTGACCAGTGATATATACTGTACTGACCAATGATATATACAGTACTGACCAACGATATATACTCTACTGACCAATGATATATACTCTACTGACCAGTGATATATACTATACTGACCTACTGATCAGTGATATATACTGTACTGACCAGTGATATATATTGTACTGACCAATGATATATACTGTACTGACCAATGATATATACTGTACTGACCAGTGATATATACTGTACTGAACTGACCAATGATCAATACTGTGAACTGACCAGTGAGATATACTGTACTGACCAATGATATATAATACTGTATTGACCAATATACTGTACTGACCAGTGATATATACTGTACTGACCAATGATATATACAGTACTGACCAGTGATATATACTGAACTGACCAATGATATAGTTGATGTATACTGTATTGACCAGTGACATATACTGTACTGACCAATGATATATAATACTGTACTGACCAGTGATATATACTGTACTGACCAATGATATATACTCTAGTGACCAATGATATTTACTGTACTGACTAGTGATATATAGTCTACTTACCAAAGATATTTTCTGTACTGACCAATGATATTTACTGTACTGACCAGTGATATATACTGCACTGACCAATGATATTTTCTGAACTGACCAATGATATATACTGTACTGGCCAGTGATATATACTGTTCTGACCAGTGATATATACTGTACTGACCAGTTATATATACTTTACTGACCAATGATATATACTGTTCTGACCAGTGATATATACTGTACTGACAAATGATGTATAATACTGTACTGACCAGAGATATATACTGTACTGACCAATGATATATACTGTACTGACCAGTGATATATACTGTACTGACCAGTGATATATACTGTACTGACCAATGATATATACTGTACTGACCAATGATATATACTGTACTGACCAATGATATATACTGTACTGACTAATGATATATACTGTATTGACCTACTTCCAGTGATACATACTTTACTGACCTACTTCCATTGATATATACTGTACTGACCAGTGATATATACTGTACTGACCAATGATATATACTGTACTGACCAGTGATATTTTCTGTGCAGACCAATGATATATACTGTACAGACCAATTATATATACTGTACTGACCAGTGATATATGCTGTACTGACCATTGATATATACTGTACTGACCAGTGATATATACAGTACTGACCAGTAATATATACTGTACTGACCAATGATATATACTGTACTGACCAGTGATATATACTATACTAACCTACTGTCCAGTAATATATACTGTACTGACCAATGATATATACTGTACTGACCAGTGATATATACTGTACTGACCAATGATATTTTCTGTACTGACCAATGATATATACTGTACTGACCAGTGATAAATACTGTGCTGACTAATGATATATATTGTACTGACCATTATATATACTGTACTGACCAGAGATATATACCGTACTTACCAGTGATATGTACGGAACTGTCCAGTGATATATACTGTACTGACCAGTGACCAATGATATATGCTGTAATGATCAACGATATATACTGTACTGACCAATGATATATACTGTAGTTTTGATATATACTGTATGACACATATATATGCTGACCAATGTAACAGTGATATTGTGTTTTAGCCCCATGATAGATACATACTGTACTGACCAATGATAATACAGTACTGTATGATATAACCCCAGACCAGTGATATATACTGTACTGACCAATGATATATACTGGACTGACCAGTGATATATACTGAACTGTCCAGTGATACATACTGTACTGACCAATGCAATACATATTGTATTGACCAGTGATTAACCCCAATGAGAGATATATACTGTACTGACCAGTGATATAACACATATTGTACCCCAATGAGAGACACATACATATATACTGTAATGCAACACAGTATATTTTACCCCATACTGTAGAGAGATATATACTGTACTGACCAATGATAACACAGTATTGATATATTTAACCCCAGTGATATATACTGTACTGACCAATGTAACACAGTATTGTATTTTAGCCCAATGAGAGACATATACTGTACTGACCAATGCTTGTACCAATGACATTACTATTTTTCAATTAAATTTTTAGTTAAATCTCAATCTAGTAAATGTTGGTATTTTTGTCCCTTAAAAAATCTTATCTGGAGAACGTTTTTTTAATAAAACAATTGATCTTTTGATGAGAAAGACAAACTATTTTTCACAGTCAGGGAAAACTTTAACCACTGAACTTTAAGCCGTTCTTTTTACTGTGAATCTCTGTATAATCTAAAGTGGTGTCTGATTATTGTTTTACATATGAATGGATTATTAAGATTTTCCATGTGGCTATTACAGAGACAGAAATGGATTACTTTTAATGTCTTTCTAGGTGTTCTTCAGAAACACAAATGGGAAAATGCCATGACACTTGATCGTAAGTCTTGGGGTTTCCGAAGGGACATGGAGTTATCTGATGTGCTAACCATAGAAGAACTCATCACTACACTGGCGGAAACGGTCAGGTACGTTCGGTAACGACTTTTAGTTCTATTGCGTTTCCGTTGGTTTGTTTGTACCATGTCCTCCGTGTGGTGTCATCGACATTTTTTCTGTCGCTATTCGGTGTCTTACAGACAAGTCAGAAGTCTGGTCACATTTATGTGATCAGTAGGATGGGTTTATAGTCAGATGCTCCTGTCCGTGGTGGGATATGGGCATTGAGTGGAGTGAAATGGACAAACTTTCAAATAAAAAAGCATATCGTTTTCAGGTAATGTCTGTCGATACTTAACTAGTGTCTAACAAAAATCTGGCATGCTACACATACATTGAACTAGATAAAATTATATGTGTTGTTTTGGAAAATAAGGAAAACATAAATTTTATTAATTTAGTACTTTATTACATAATTGACGCGTTTGTCTAGACCCCTTACAAAGACTATTATAATGAATGGATACACATTAAACCACCTAATTTGGAACCCAATAAGGCTTCTTGATCCTAGAATCTGATTGACCATGTCAGTGTTGGTCTACATCGTACAGTAATGTAGTTCTAATGGTAAAAGTCGACCATACCTAATGCCTTGAAGATGACGTTGTTAGCGAAATCTACATTATTTTAAGTTTGTCTTAAAACTCTTGGATGCAAAGGCTTACTGGTTTCCAACTGTATGTTGTAAATAGTACAGGACACAGGGTCCTTTGTCCCGGTGGCCAAAAAATGCTTCTGGGAACACAGTGTTATGCTCTAGAATATATTCTCTTGTAAGATGATCGTTTCCGAGGAACAAAGGAACAATGGTTATTTCAGATGCTTTTACTATGGAATGAAATGTTTTCGATATACTGGAAACTGACATGTTAAAAAGAGTTGAACACTGTTTCCATGTCCGTCTTTATTTTTACCCGGAACAAGAGTAGTGCATCCTAATGGTATGGGGTGTAAATACCAGTGTCAAACAGAGGAGGAACAATAAGAAATTGCTATCAGAAACTGTTCTTGTCCAACCAGTCCAGGCTTCACAACCTGCATCATCCAGAGGGGATGAAAATTCTTCATACATAGTGTACATTTTGCGTGGGAAGACTGGCCATGAAATCGATACTCTATGGATAACAGTGGGATGTTTCGTCACGTATCAACACCAACGTTTTGACCTCCAAGTTGTTTCTGATAATTCTTAAAACACTTAGCACACATACCATTCTCTTGATCATCATTAAAGTAATTGCCATCTGCTTTTAAAACATCAAACAACAAGTTGCGCTAAAGTCTCCGTCTTAGTAGAAAATGTAGAAAGTAATGTGAAAAGAACAAGTGATGATATCGAGGTATATGATGTATATAATACATTGTTGAAAGATTTGTATAGTAACTAACGCTCATAAAATATATCGTATTTAACGTCCTTATTATAATTGACAGATATATTCATGTATGTGTACTAGGGGTTGTTAATGATAAAGAAAGGCAAATTTGTGTGAAGGCTTGGAAATGTCCAATTTCGTTCGTCATTGAGGTGATACACATCAAAGCCAAAAATCAACACTTAGTTGAGAAATGGTGAAGTTTCGATATTTGGGCAGGGTTAGGGCAAGAGATAAATTGAGCTATCTATATGCTAAATACCTTTTGAATGACAATTTGACTAAAAATTGACGCTTTTCTCTCAAAATACTTAAAAAGTCAATAACATCGGAGGTTTACTTACTGTTTTAGTATTTTAGTATCTAATTTTTGGTTCGAAGCTTCCTGTTTTGCTAAAATATGATTTTTTTTATCTGTTTTGTGACTATCGGCGTTCATAGTTTAATAGTTTAGTTACGTAATTAGCTAAATAGGCATGTGCGTCATCGAATAATTTGGATTAAATGTAAAGCAAAGGGAATCAGTTTTGATGGCAATGTATCGGTGAGTAGTCTCGAACGGTGAACAATATATAGACAAACATCTCTGTGAAATTAGCTTTGCTGGAAACCTCAGCTTTGAGCTACGTCCACAAACAAGAGTTGCCTCCTGTAGATCATGTGTCGTGAATTGAGCCTGCCGCACAATTTGATGAATTCGTCAGCAATTTTTTTTTTTTTTTTTTTATAAAATACGAGTATATTAGTATGCAGTAATCAGTCATTAATTAATTAATTAGTAATTAATATAAAAAGTGTACTAACTCATTAACTCATTGACTAAAACAATTTATTAAGTATAATTAGAATTTGGTAGTTTCCAATTTGTTGTTTCGAAGGGAAAGACCTTAAATACGGGCCATCAAAATATAAAGCTGTTAGCGTGTTTCTCAATTGTTGTGAAATAAATGAAATTAATATTTTGATGAACGCGAAGGTGCTGATAATGTTGACTTGTGCCAAATTTTCTTGTCATAGCAAATGAAATAACTAAAACTAATTTTGACAATGTGGTTTCCTAGCAAAATAAATATGACTATTCCTCCTGTGTTTGTATGACTAGTTTATCACTGGTTTATTAATAGCTGTGGTGGTAACCTGTTGGTGAATATTGGCCCCACCTCTGACGGGACAATTCCTCCTGTGTTTGAGGAAAGGCTTCTACAGATGGGAACGTGGCTGCGGGCTAATGTTGATTATGTTTACGACAGTAAACCGTGGCACTATCAAAACGACACACACACACCAGGAGTTTGGTAAGTTTTGAAATAGAAAGAATTAGTGGTACAGTCACAATTACGTTTGATTCACACGTTTTAGTAACGTAGGGGGCAGATTGAAACGTCACTTGTTTGCGAGAGTAACGTCATAAATTTGTGCGAAAGCGACGTGAATTTCTCACGCAAACTAATGACGTAACAAACAATACGCGATCACAAGAGCAGATAACTGTGCATTACATATACATTATTTTTCTGTGTCTGCCAGGTACACTGCGAAGAAGATCAGTATGGTGACTATTGTTTACGCATTCGTCCAGAAGCTGCCAGAGTCCGGTTTTTTGTACCTTGGTGCCCCTATCCCGGGGGACCCTTCCTTCTGTCAGGTTACCCTTCTAGGAACCGTTTATAAGTTCCCATGGACCACTGGGCCACAAGGTGGTATGAACATTTCTGTATCTACCGTCACAAAGGAAGTACCGTATTCCTGGGGCTGGGTTTTCTCTCTGTATGGACTGAAAAACCAGTAACAATGATTAAAGTGTGATAATTCTCAGTATCAGGTATGCTGGAGTCGAAGTCTTCTACCATTTCATACGTGTCGTTATTGTTGTCATTATCAAACTGTAGTAATGGTTATACAGATGTAGTTAATCGTCTGTGATCTGTCTGACTGTTGGAGTTAGTTAATTTGGAGAGCAAACTCAACGAACACAGTTGATATATATGTTTTAAAAAAACGAGATCTATAATTATCTGAATCACTATCAATTAGGAGAACGAAGTCGCAGATATATTCTTTATCATGCATGAACATTTAATATAACTTATTTTCCATGAAACTGTGCTCTGTGCCTTCATCGACTATTAATTTTTACTTGTACAGCGTAACCAAATTGATGTGTTCAACAAAGGTAGTATTACAAGACAGACACGTTTGTGACAAATTGATATGTTTAACAAAGATAGTATTACAAGACAGACACATTTGTGACTTGTGACAAATTGATATGTTTAACAAAAATAGTATTACAAGACAGACACGTTTGTGACAAATTGATGTGTTTAACAAATTGATGTGTTTAACAATGATAGTATTACAAGACAGACACGTTTGTGACAAATTGATGTGTTTAACAAAGATAGTATTACAAGACAGACACGTTTGTGACAAATTGATGTGTTAAACAATGATAGTATTACAAGACAGACACGTTTGTGACAAATTGATGTGTTAAACAAAAATAGTATTGACAGACACGTTTGTGACAAATTGATATGTTTAACAATGATAGTATTACAAGACAGACACGTTTGTGACAAATTGATGTGTTTAACAAAGATAGTATTACAAGACAGACACGTTTGTGACAAATTGATGTGTTAAACAAAAATAGTATTACAAGACAGACACGTTTGTGACAAATTGATATGTTTAACAAAAATAGTATTACAAGACAGACACGTTTGTGACAAATTGATGTGTTTAACAAAGATAGTATTACAAGACAGACACGTTTGTGACAAATTGATGTGTTTAACAAAGATAGTATTACAAGACAGACACGTTTGTGACAAATTGATGTGTTAAACAATGATAGTATTACAAGACAGACACGTTTGTGACAAATTGATGTGTTAAACAATGATAGTATTACAAGACAGACACGTTTGTGACAAATTGATGTGTTAAACAAAAATAGTATTACAAGACACACGTTTGTGACAAATTGATGTGTTAAACAATGATAGTATTACAAGACAGACACGTTTGTGACAAAATTGATATGTTTAACAATGATAGTATTACAAGAGAGACACGTTTGTGACAAATTGATGTGTTTAACAATGATAGTATTACAAGACAGACACGTTTGTGACAAAATTGATATGTTTAACAATGATAGTATTACAAGACAGACACGTTTGTGACAAATTGATGTGTTTAACAAAAATAGTATTACAAGACAGACACGTTTGTGGATATTTGCATTTGCTCATTTTATTTTCTATTTTGATATTTAAAGTTAAAATGAAACTCATTTTCAATTGATCGAGTTTCATATCTTTACACTTTCCCTTTGTACCAAAGCGATTTCGTTTCACATCGTATTCCGAGCCAAATATGGCTTATATTTTAAGGCACTGACCTTGTATTCTCTATATCAGTATACGTGTCAAATATCTCGCTTGGTTAGAGAATGTCAAACTGAAAATTATAGAGTATATTGGAAAAACCCGTTCACCAAAATGGGAATTTCATAGCATTTACATGCTTCGAATTCAATACAACAGATAATTTTAGGTTGAACATAATATCTTTCCTTTTTATTTAAAGAAAAATCCTTTAATCGCAATGACACCAAACATCATTTCAATTCGATTTTGAATGAAACGATACATTACGTGTAGTTTAAATTAAACATGAATTACGGAAACTAGGATGTAGCAGATATATGGATATCTGATAACGTTATGCGTACCTACATATACACTTACGGCATATCTCGTCAGATAAAAATATGTGCCACTCATAACACTCACACAAAATTCTCACCGGTACATACATACATACACACATACGTACGTAAGTACATACAAACATACATACATACATAACTAGCCACCCACCCACTCACCCACACACATGCATGTATGTATGTAATATTACTTATATCACATGTATATCGGGCGAATCTCTGGAACAAGGCCGTGTTCACTTTGTTTTGAAATAATTTTTTTCAGGGAACGTTTGTAAAGAACATAAAAAAGTCTATTCTTGTTGAACTTGCTAGTTCCATTCAAGAATACAATTTTGGACAAATACACATACACTGCATTTTATATTGAAATTGTTTTATTTTTATAAAGTTATTTATTTTGCTAGTTTCTTATGCACGGTTTGAAATTATTTTCGTCATATTTTGTGGATTCTTCACCAGTACTGTGTTGATATACAAATATACAGTAAGGAGACATCAGAAGATCTCGGTTTTATCGATTATATACACAAAATGTCAGTGCTCAGCTTGTATTGATCTAGCTAACAGAGATTGCTTATCGTCAGCTGTATATCGTTACACAATTTATAGGTTAGGAGTGTGCAGGACCATGTTATTACTGCAGCTGTGCAGGGTTTAGCATAGCTTGGTGTTAAAAAAAATACCAACATGTCAACATTATCATAATCCAAACTGAAATTCCATAAAACTAGGGCAAAATATGAATAAAGGAAAACTTTTCAGGGAGACTTCTTAAAAAGTACAAGGATAATAAGAAAAGGTGTTCCGGGAGTGTAAGCGTCTGTTGCTTCATTGACGACATCCGCCATGTAAACACTGGTCAATCACAGTATATACGGTCACAATGACGTTCTATAATGAGAACAAGGCATACAAAAGCAGAACCAACAGACAAACTAACGAGCATCAAACAAGCCAAGCTTCATATCGCACAACGGAACCATCATGTACACTAACGAGCATCAAACAAGCCAAGCTTCATATCGCACAAAGCAATAAAATGTTTCTCAGTTAGATCACTCTGACAACCATAAAACATCCCCATAATTTTTATCAACCTGCATATTTTGAACCATGTGTAAAGAATATGTCCGTCAGGGGACGACTTTTTAAGTTCAGAATAAAATACGAGTGCAAAGTATCAATATGGTAACAGTGTAGAGTCAGTATACAGACTCAGAACTGAACGTCAAACTAACGAGCATCAATCACGTCCAGCTTCGTGTATAGAATATTTTAAGTTAATAGGTATGGTTATGATTGCAGTATTTAATACAAGCATATCATCTTAAGCCAAACGTGTGACTTTATAGAGATAAGCATAAAAATAAAGCTTGTTTTCTTAATATTGGTTTATAGAAAAAACGAGCTTCGTTTTCATTATCTGAACTAAGTAAATGAATGGTGATTGCTTTCGTAAGTTTATGTTTGATGAAAGAAAAACATGAAAATCCATACTATCTGAGAGCATTACACCGCAGAGCGGTGTCTTTTAACTCAGTCCGTATAAAACCAAACTACACTTATAGTTTAATGGAAAATACAATACCAATACAATGTTCTAGTTTTAAAATATGTGGTTTTAGTAGAAAAGGCTTTACATTTGTTGTTCTATAGAGTAATTTATTCAATATTAAGTATTAAAAGTCTTAATATAAGGTCCACATCCTGAATGATATCCAGAATTTGTATTATATCTTAATCTGTCATCGAATGAAAATTACGGTTGTAAATTAAATCGCTACTGATGCATTTACGGGTTTCCTTTAATCTGTCATCAATTAAGGATTGATTGTCTATTTTGTTGCTTGCATGGACTGATGAAGGGAAGTGAACCTCGTGCAAATGAAGTGAACTGTGAAGCATCAGTCCATGCAAGCAACAAAATAGATAATCAATCATTTACATTTACTATTTTAAAATTCCTGCTGAAACATTATGCCTTCTACGGACACTGCACTACACGACAGTGATGGTTTGCGACATTGTTGTACTTATCGTACATGTGTGTACACATGTGGGACAGCAGTCATCAAGCTGCTCTCGTCGTCAAGACAACAAAAAAAATAGTTCTTGTAAGTTTTTATTTGTTTCATGTTTATACACTTAAATATATCATACTTGCCAACTTTTTGAAATTTTCATGGGGGAGAAAAATATGTGAACGACATTTTCAACTCGGTCGCTCAGTTTCGCGTTATCAGGAATAACCACATCATCATGAATTTGCATAATCCAGTACTGTTTTATCCTGCAATAAGCCCATGCCATATAATAAGCCTATCCATGTCTTTTTCAGAGATTTCAAAATTCACTGCCTTACATAAACTATCCCTGCATTCTGCAACAAGCTCACCCCCACATATTGTTCAATATCACTAAACATTGGCTTCCTGGGCTTATTGCAGGGTAAATACAGTAAACGTTCCAATCAAAGCATTTGAGATCACTCTAGTATAGACCTACAGAAATAACAACATTTGATGTTTTAGCTATTTGTTTCATTTAACAAATTTGATCAATTCTTCTACAACAGAATTGAGAAATTAATGTGATTTATTTGCATCAAATGTTGTTTTTTTCTGATGGAAAATTTTAAATAACCAGACAAGTGCAATTGATTTTTAAGTTTTTAATAATCAAATCTTGCATTGATGTTGGATGCTCTTTTGTAGAAATAAATTATATCAAAATAGAGATCTCACTCTGACTCTGAACACAAGTCCATAAAGAAAAAAAACCCAATCACAACAACCACACAACATAATCTTGCATCCAAACCATTACAAACATGTCACTAATTTAAATAATTTAATTTTAATTTATTTTACATAGAAACTCAGTCTAATCTCTGAAGATAGAGGGGGAACATGACAGTTCCTTATTGTAGCTAACACATGCAGACTTCGCGGTCGCTAAAGTCGTTGTCGATGGCTTATAGTTGTAGCAGTCCTCATCCCTGTTCAGCTTGCAGGTCAGTAAAGCTGACAAAGTTGACTGGTCTAAAAGTGATCTTTGGTCCGTTTGTACATTCCGTAGCACTGAAAACACTCGTTCACAGTCAGCGTTGCTGTTCGGCAGGGTACACAATGATGTCATCACACTGCAGTTGTCTGACATGAAGCTGATGCAGTTTCTCCATGGTATGTCGTAATCCGTCAGGACCTGATTGAGGTGATGAAAGATGTTCTGTCCAGTTCCAATGTTACATATCGGCAGGGCAAGAAACTTTGTTGTGGCAAGTTTGTCGAAGTATCGCACAAGAATGTCTAAACTCTTCTCACCGTTGTGGTCATTGCTTTCATCACAGCTCAGTGAAAATGGATGGCTCTGGCAGTGCTCCACAACCTCTTCTTTCAAGACCGGGGCAAGTGACCTCTTGATGATCTGTGTTGTCTTGGTCCTTCCACAGTGAAACTTCTGTGCAATTTTACTGTCTGAAACATCTGCTTACATAGCTTTGTGAAGTGGTCAGCGGTGTTGAAGGACCCTGGGTGTGTGTGTGGGGTTATAT